GSMAAAAAAAAAAAAAMATTCACCCCACAGAGAWGAACAGTTGTTGMGACATTTGTATGTGAAAAAACAGGAAGTGATGTCAAAGGGGAATGTCTGAATGTAAACAGAGCGTTGTTACAACAGCTAACAACACAGACTGTAGAGAAGAATCTGATGTTTCTGTAGATTATTTTGAGTCACTATCAAAGAGGGATGAGGAGGTTTAAATAATAAAGTTTAAATAATAATGTTTTAATAAACAAAGACCAGAGAGTTTATTTTATTAAGGAGTTCCCCTTTGATGTCACATCCTGTTTCTCTTTGGCTGAGCCAGTTATGGGACAAAATGTGTAAAATCATGTGTATTATGACAATTTTCTCAAGTATAAAGACATTTTCTTTGACTTTTTGTATTTAAAGAATAGGCATGTCACAGGTACCGTATTTATTCATGTAATACAATCATTTTTTGAGCTTAAAAACCATTAAAAATCTAATTATCAATAACCTGTGTATAATACTACCCCCCCCCCCCCCCCACACACACACACACACACACACTTTATGGATGATTTTTAGGGTTAAATTTCTAGTATTATACATGTGCCAACAGTGACACAATCACGCCGGTCCTGCCCCTGTGTGCTGGGCCCACGCGTTGTCGAGGCACCTGGTCATGCAACTCCCAATTTTGGTAACATGGCACATGCTCCATTCAAATAGTTTCAAATGTTTGCCCTCCATTTTGCAACATTTCACAAGTTATAAAGTGTACTTCCACATGTCCTTCGGGAGAATACTACAACATAAGAGTCGAGTATAAATGCCTACACCGCTTGCTCAGGACTGTCAACGGAGCTCTTCAACACACTCTGATGCTACGTTCACACCAAACACGTTTTGAGCTGCAGGAGCAGCCGGTTTATATGCAAAATCTATGGTGGACACACCTCTAGGGGTCTCGTGGAAATGTTATTAAAGTCGCGTGAATATGTTTGTTCTCATGATAAATCATTACAAACATGATGGCAATGGATGTAAACACATAGCATATTGCTACCACAACACTAGCCCTCATCATCAGAGGAGACGTCAGCGTCTTATCGAGGCTTTCCAGCGACAAGCCTCTTATACTTGCAAGTGGCTACGTATGCCGCGTTTTTGGGAAATTGTAGTCGGTGAGTTTACTACTTTCTTTTACAACTTTGGTGATTTTATTACTACTTCTACTTCCTGTTGTCTTCTTCGTCGTCGTTGTCTTTTTCGCCAGTAGAAACCGCTGGTTGTTGATCATGTGGCTCCCATGAGGTGAAAAAAGTGTTTCCATTGCAGTTTTGCGAAATACACCAATTTTGATACGGCCGAAAAACCACCCTCCTCCGAGCGCAAAAACATTTTGTTGAAAAACTAAGTTTTTTCGAAATTGACGTGTTTCCATTGAGCAGATTTATTTTCGAAATTTTAATTTGCGCATTTTCATGGTCAATGGAAACSCAGCTAATGTAAGGTGGCAGGGAGCTGGTCCATTTCTCCAGTATCAATGGTTAACGGGATATTCTGTCTTCACTTTTGTACAACAGAAGTAGACAGAGTAGCGTCCTCCATCTTTGAATACATTCATTGGTTCAGAAACACCTCTCGTTAAATTTCAAAACAGTCCCCACCCATGTGATGTTAAACAACTAGGTTCTGTTCATCATTGGGGAAATCACCCCCGTTTGAGATATAACTGAACTGAGAAATGTGCACACTGGTAATACTTACCCATGCGTGACCTCAGAGTGAGTAACTGTCGGGTTGATAACAGGGGACTGAGTCCTGGTTGCTGATATGGGGGCCACCACGGTTGGAAGCACAGCAGTAGAGGTTGTTACAGCAGGGCGGGACTGCACACAGAACAATATAAATACGTATTCTTGTTCGAAACATTTTTAAACACTTATTTTAAATCCAACACACCTGGATGGTCTGGTGAATTATGTGCTGCACTGGGGGCGGGCCGGGGCCTGCGCTCACTCCAGTGGCTGGCCGCAGGACCGTTTTGGAGCTGGACATGGCAGCTGCTGCGACGGCCCCTGCAGGGTATGAAATAAAACAATCAAAACTGCACTACAAGTCCCAAACGTGGCAAGGCATATCCTGGCATACTGATCTCATCAGAATATTCCTACCTCGAGGCAAATGAGAAGTAAATGTCTGTGGAGGGACGGCGGGAGCACTAATTTGGCCCCTAATGATGTGAATGTTAGCTGGCATAAGGTGATGTAAGTTGCTGGAGTGACCCTGAAATGGTTAAAAAAATCAGAAAAGGTTCATAACAGCTKCAACAATAGTCACAGAAAAGGAAAGCCAAGACAGAGAGTGCTCACCTGCTGCCCACTGATGGTGGCCACAGGGATGGTTGGGGTGGTGGGCATCGTGCTCTCTATAGTCATTGTAATGTGACTCGCCACTTTAGGGATATGAGCCTGGTTGGAAGCTGGTGCTGGAGCAATGAGACGACTTGGCATCGGTGATTTCAGGACAGCCTAAAATCAGATATTTAATAGGTGAGTTTTTAGGTTCTTAAAGTCTCTAATGATAAAATATTTTGTTTCTGTTTTAAGAAAATATTTGCATTAAAAATCTGTGGAGTCTTTAAAAACTAGATAAAACTCTATGGTGTAAGTTTTACAGGAAAACCAATCAAAGAAAAAACAAATAACCTCTGAAATAAAATATTTTACATGTTTTACATATCACCAAAGAGAAAACAAAACAAAAATATTGAATTAAGTGTGAAATGCAAAACTTAATTCTCTCATTCTTTAGAATTTTTTTTAAAATTAATAACAGGGATATTTTGTACAACCTTTTAATGATGTCTGACTGATAAAAAA